ATCTTCAATGCTCTAACTGACGGAAGTAGGTTGTTTCCCAAAATCTCGCAATACATGGCCCCGGTCATCCTCTCCTTAATACAGTGAAGTCGTCCTGTCCCATGTGCAGAAAAACATCCCCAAAGCATGATGCTTTCACCCCCATGCTTCACAGTAGGGACGGTGTTTTTGGGATGGTACTCATCATTCTTCATCCTCCAAACACGGCAAGTGGAATTAAGACCAAAAAGTTCTATTTTGGTCTCATCTGACCACATAACTTTCTTCCACGACTCCTCTGGATCATCCAAATGGTCATGGGCAAACTTAAGTCGGGCCTGGACATGGATTTAAGCAGTGGAAACTTCCATGCCTTGCATGACTTTAAACTATGACATCTTAGTGTATTACCCACAGTAACCTTGGAAACAGTGGTGCCAGCTCTCTTCAGGTCATGGACCAGCTCCTCCCGTGTAGTTCTGGGCTGATTCCTTACCTTTCTTAGGATCATTGATACGTCATGAGGTGAGATCTTGCATGGAGCCCCAGTCCAAGGGAGATTGACAGTCATGTTTAGCTTCTTCCATTTTCTAATAATTGCTCCAACAGTTGATCTTTTTTCACCAAACTGCTTGGCAATTGCCCCGTAGCCCTTTCCAACCTTGTGGAGGTCTATAATTTTGTTTCTGGTGTCTTTGGACAGCTCTTTGGTCTTAGCCATGTTAGTAGTTGGAGTCTTACTGATTGTGTGGTGTGGACAGGTGTCTTTATGCAGCTAACAACCTCGAAAGAGGTGCTTCTAATTTAGAATAATAAGTGGAGTGGAGGTGGACTTTTTAGAGGCAGACTAACAGGTCTTTGAGGGCCAGAGTTGTTTCTGATTGGCAGGTGTTCAAATACTTATTTGCAGCAGTAACACACAAATAAATTATTATAAAATCATACATTGTCATTTCCGGATTTTTTTTTAGATTATGTCTCTCACAGTGGACATGCACCTAAGTTGAAAATTTCAGACCCCTCCATGATTTCTAAGTGGGAGAACTTGCAAAGTCGCAGGGTGTTCAGATATGCTGGTTAAGATTCTCAGCCATCCAGGACATGATGAATTCAAACAGTGTTCAATACAAAAACAACTGGATTTGTAACAGAAGATGTTTCGCTCCTCATCCGAAGAGCTTTCCCAATTCAAACAGCAGTGAGTGAGGGATTCAGGTTATAAGGCTGAATGAGATAAGACACACACACATGCGTAGATTGGCAATTCACACCTAAACATCTTAACAGTAGGGGTTTCTTAAAGTCTTTGTTACTCTAATTCACAGACGAGGCCCCTCTGTTCCCATCAGGTGTGAAAACCGGCTGGGAATCTGTTTTAAAGTTGCATTATATGTTTTTGAAAGTGGAAATCTGAGGCCTCCTCCTCTGTTAAGAGACGGCTTTTCTCTTTTTACATAAATTGCTTCCTTCACCCCCCTCTCAAACCATCTGTGTTCTCGGTCCAAAATGTGCACATTTTGGTCCTCAAAAGAGTGTCCCTTATCTGTGAGGTGGAGGTGAACAGCTGAATCTTGTCCAGAGGAGGTGGCTCTCCTGTGTTGAGTCATGCGTCTGTGAAGAGGCTGTTTAGTTTCCCCAATGTAGAGGTCTGGACAGTCCTCGCTGCATTTGACTGCATACACTACACCACTCTGTGTATGGGTGTTTTGTCCTTAGGGTGGACGCGCCTCTGTCTGAGAGTCCTGCTGGGTTTGAAATGTACTGGGATCTTGTGTTTGTTGAAAATCCTTCTGAATTTATCTGATACTCCAGCAACATAAAGGATGACAATGTTTTTCCGTCTGTTGTTTTCCTTTTTCTGTTTATTAGGGTGCTTTGTAGATTTTCTCGCTGACTTGACAAAAGCCCAGTTAGTCAAGTCAAGTCAACTTTATTTATAGAGCACATTTAAAACAGAACCTGTTATCAAAGTGCTTAACAACAACAACAATAATCAATGAGTAAAATTAAAGAGAAAAAAATATATATAAATATACAATACACTAATAATAATAACTGAAGAATTAATAAAAAGCATTTAAAACATAGGGTCATAGATTAAAAAAAAACACTAGCTCAATTTACAGTGTGTGAAATGCCTGCGAGAACAGATGTGTTTTAAGCAGGGATTTGAAGTGAGGAATGGAGGTGGCCTGCCTGATGTTGGGGGGCAGGTTGTTCCAGAGTTTGGGGCCCATGACTGAAAAAGCCCGATCTCTTCTGAGCTTCAGTCTTGTTTTTAGAACAGCCAAAAGCAGTTGATCGGATGATCTCAGGGCCCGAGAGGGAACGTAAGGTTCCAGGAGCTCAGAGAGGTAAAGGGGTGCGAGGCCATTTAGGCACTTGAAGGTCAACAGAAGAATTTTAAAGACTATCCTCGTACGAACAGGGAGCCTGTGAAGGGAGGACAGAACTGGAGTAATATGTTCAGACCTACGTGTTCCGGTTAAAAGCCAAGCAGCAGCATTCCGGACGAGCTGAAGACGTGAGATGGAGGCCTGGCTGATCCCAGCATACAGTGCATTGCAATAGTCCAATCGGGTTGTGACAAAAGCGTGGACTAGTTTCTCAAGGTCGGGTCTGGACAACACTGGCTTGAGCTTAGCTACCTGTCTGAGTTGGAAGAAGCTTTTCTGCAGAACATAGTTGATTTGTTTGTCAAACTTGAAGTCAGAGTCTAAAACCATGTTAAAAGTTAGGATATCCACATGTTTGAAGAGCATCTTGGATGTGTTTCTGTTCCTTTTCCTTCCTTTCTGTCACAATCCTCACAGTTGGAACCCATTTGCAGGGAGGCGAGC